TCATAAATTAAAAATAAATATTATTGAATTTATTCTGCCAGTTGTTAAATATAACTTTATCTTTAATTAAACTTCATTACCATTTGAATTATCACCTAATTTATTAAATTTTGGCTATTTTTTTATCAAATATGTAGGCTGTTTATTTATAATCATTTTCTAGAATTGGCGATAATATCCATTCGCATCCTTGAGAATTCGTGAAATTTGAGATCGTATCGAAATCTGCCTCGTGTGCTAGATGGGTGCATAATGATCACGTTTTTCATTTGTTCTTTTTTTTTTCTTTCTAGACACTTCAATCAATGAAGATGTTCTAAACTTCTCTAGTTTCGAACAAAATTTAAATAAAAGGATTTCTTACTTCGCTCAGTCTTATATTTATATATACATATATGTGTGTGTAATTTAATTTTTTATATTCTCTTTTTAACAGAGTACCCCCCTTTTTTTAAAATTAATTAATCAAGAAAGTGTGAATAAAAGGGGAAAAAACAAGTAATTTTTTTGTAAAAAAAAGTTCTTTTGGCTTATTGTTCAGACTACAAAAGAAGAGAGGTAAAGGTTGAATAGTTACAATAGAATTGTTTTTAGATAATTCTGTGGGTATGCAAATTCAATGAATTTCTCTTTATTTCTAGAAAATGCTCTTTTATTAAGGGCCTTATTTCGAATGATTTTAACGACTTTTCCACAGAAAAAATATTCAGAGGAAATAAAATATTCATTAATGAAGTTTCTTGTTTTTAATAATCTCTGTAAAAGTGATTGTTTTTTGGCCAATAATTAACAAATGGAAAAAACTTGGACAATTCTTCCAATTTTTCTAAAATTAAATAAACATGATTTTTTAAGAATTTTTTTTTAAATACACTAAAAAGAAATACCTTGCGCAAGGTTATTTGTATATTTTTAAAAAAAAATTTATCTGTACTTCAAATCTGAAATCGGTTTCTCAATCCAAGCTATGTTTTTTTTATTTATTTACTTATTTTTAATAATTTTTTAATGATACTTTTAGTCTGTTTTTGTCGAACGGTACAACCTAATAACGTCATATATCTAACAGAGGGAAGCATAACTCTTACAAATTTTATGTTTTACTTATAACTGCACTGCAACGAATTTTTATTGAAGTTAAAGCACATCAACAGAATTAAAATTGCATAGGTAATCATGCCCGGAAATGGCGTCATACACCGCTAGGCTTTTCCCTATCATTAACTGTTTCTTCGTGTGCTTCTAGATCTGAACAGGACAGAAAAGGGAACGCTTACAACGTTATGGGTTACTATGGATTAATTTTAATGCTAATAACATGCTCTAACACTCCTAGAAGCTTGTCGCAGTATTTATGCAGCCCCATGTTATATACAGCGTTTACCTTCTACATTTTGAGAAGAAATAGACTAATATTGTCATTTTCAAAAAATAAATAAAAATCTGTAGCATTAGGAGAAAAACTAATTTTAGATTTGAAATCCTCTCACCCGAATTCAGTAGGTTTAGGTAGATGCATAAACAAATTGTTTAGGTAGTCGCATAAACAAATTGTTTAGGTAGTTGCAGAAACAAATTGTTAGGTAGTTGCATCAACGAATTGTTTAAGTAGTTGCATAAACAAATTGTTTAGGTAGTTGCATAAACAAATTGTTTAGGTAGTTGTATAAACAAATTGTTTAGGTAGTTGCATAAACAAATTGTTTAGCTAGTTGCATCAACGAATTGTTTAGGTAGTTGCATAAACAAATTGTTTAGGTAGTTGCATCAACAAATTGTTTAGGTAGTTGCATAAACAAATTGTTTAGGTAGTTGCATAAACAAATTGTATTGTAACAGAAAATTTGTTCTCTGTGTGATTATTGCCTTTGTAAATGAAGAATGAATTATGCTGATCACTCCTCTCTCTAATTAGACGGAATTCACATCGAGAATTTGTCACTTAATTTAGATCTTGTGTGAAAATTTCCACTTCGTATTTAAATGGCTGCAGGCGCGAATTTATTTATTAAATCTATTCGCTAATAATACTCAGTAAATCAAGCTGGCATTGACATTGATGACCTTGGATCGCTTTTCTTTTTGGAGAAAGTATCTTTCTTTTTCTAACTGAAGAGAAATGTTGTATTTCCGGCTTGTTTTCTTCAGTGCTAAATAAAGAACCAGATTTCCGGATTCTGATAACCTTTCACGATAGAACTTTAATAAAGAGTTATCAGAATGCATTAGCGTAAACATCGGAATTCATGGAATATCTAAAATCATCCAGTTCAGTTAAAATTAGTTTGATTGTAAAGTCATACATTTATGCATATGTTCTATAAGAATGCACAAATGTCTGATATGGTGAGCTCATGGAACGTCTAAAGTCAGTTTATTGGTAATTAGTTTTAATGAAAAATTATGCATTTATTCATAAGCTGACTGAAAGTGAGTACGTGTAAGCATCGAAGTGTGCTGAATTCATGGAGCGTCTAAAATCAGTTTAATAGCAATTGGTTTTAATGAAAAATTATGCATTTACTCATATTTTCACTGAAAGTGAGTAAGTCTAAATATCTGAGACTGTTGAATTCAAGGACCGTCTAAAATATGTTTATTGGTAATTATATTTTTAATAGAAAATTGTGCATTTACTCATATGTTTACCCAAAGTGAGTAAGTGTAAACATCAAAGCGTGCTGATTTCATGGAACGTCTAAAATCATTTTTTAGCAATTGGTTTTAAGGAAAAATTGTGCATTTACTCATACGTTCACTAGATGCGTGTAAGTATAAATATCTGAGCGTACTGAATTTGAGGAAAGTCTAAAATCTGTTTATTAGTAATAATGGAAAATCTTACATTTTCACATATGTTCACTGAAAGTGCGTAAATGTAAACATATGAGTGTGCTGAATTCACGGAACGTCTTAAATCAGGTAGTTGTATAACGATTAGTTTGATTGAAAAGTTGTACTTTTATACGTATGTTCATTAAAAGTTAATGACTATAAATATTCAAGAATTATAATTCTACTTTGAGAAAGAAAGTACTGTCAAAACTACCGGAATATGGTAACATTTAAAATGTTTCTGTCTCTAAGGGAACACCAAAAAGCTCGGTAATTTTTACCGATGCGCTTTAGTATAATGATTTTGATAAAATTAACTAAATTTAGTTATTTTATCATGACGCATTAGAGCATGACATAAGAAGGATTTATTCAGTTAAATTTGCTATTCAGTTTTATATTTCTTTACTAAATGAGAACTATAATTTTGAAATGCAATGAGAACTATAATTTTGAAATGCAAAGAGAACTATAATTTTGAAATGAAATGAGAACTATAATTTTGAAATGTAATGAGAACTATAATTTTGAAATGTAATGAAAACTATAATTTTGAAATGTAATGAGAACTATAATTTTGAAAGGTAATGAGAACTATAATTTTGAAATGTAATGAGAACTATAATTTTGAAATGTAATGAGAACTATAATTTAGAAATGTAATGAGAACTATAATTTTGAAATGTAATGAGAACTATAATTTTGAAATGTAATGAGAACTATAATTTTGAAATATAATGAGAACTATGATTTTGAAATGTAATGCGAACTATAATTTTGAAATGCAATGAGAACTATAATTTTGAAATATAATGAGAACTATAATTTTAAAAACCAGAAGTCTCTGTTGTCAATGAAAGAAAGCTGTTCAGGAAATGACATGCTATTTTTATATCGGTTGTGAGTTTGTTAGACTTAATTTAAACTGTTAGGGAAGATTGAGCTAAATATAAGAAAGGCGCAAAGTGTTAGTATAAAGGCAGTAGTTTTATGGAAATGAAAAACTATTAGATAATTTCAAGCTGTTCATGTTTATTAAACAAATTATAAAAACTTTAGAAACAACATATCAATGCAAAGAAAAAGCACTAATAAATTGCAAAAATTTTTGCCATAACCAGAAAAGCCAATGATGAATAATGAAAAATATTGGCATAAAATACATTTAAAACATAGCACGAGTATTTAAGTTAAAATTAATGTAACTAAATTAAAATTTGAGCTAAATTAAATGTTTTCGAAACAAGTTGTAAAATTAATTTTATACTCCATGGAATTTCAATGGGAACAAATTTAAGTTTATTTGAATTTTTGTATATATAACATGAATGGCGAGTTTTTTCCACAATGGAAAAAACGGCGGAAAAAAAACATGGGAAAAGACCGCCCGATAAAAGTGTATTTCTTCCAACCTACGTGGAAGAAATAAAAGGTACTCTTTTTCAAAAGAAAAAAAAAATATTAAAAAAAAAAACTTTCTAATTGCAATCTATTTTAAATATTAGTAAATAGTATTGATATTTAAGGTATCATTTTTAAATAAGTGGATAATTGGAAAGAAAGGAAAATTCAATGAATTTGTTAAAAATTAAACTGACTTAAATTTTATTAATTAATACTTTTTTAATTAAAAATCACCTACTCAATATATACACTACTGTTAAACACTTATTCAATTCACAATTATAAAAACTATGCTCTATAGTCAAATGCTGTTGAGTATGAATGCTTAAACTGACTCCTAAATAACAAGATAAATAGATTCTAAAAACGAAAATGAATTATTTGAAAATTTTTAATTTTATTTAAAAGAAAAAGTAGATGCGAAAAAAACTTTTAGTTTAATGGCACTGTATTGAATTCAGTTTATTTGAATTCAAGACATTCTGATAATATTTTTTGCTAGGCAATAGTATCGGCCATATTTAATTCCTTCCATTTTGTTAAGTTGCCAACCTTGATTTATAATAACAGTAAAGATAAAGAGAGGTCCGTTTTCATATCTTTGAAAAAACTCAAACTCTTTTACTAGTCTATTTTCATTATTTTCTGCTAAATTAGTGTAAATGCATCATCAAGATTTATAGATTTTGTTCGTGGCCATCATTCTAGCATTAAAACATTTACTTTTATTGCTTTTATTAAAACATTTTTTCTCTTCATAGGTAGGGGAGTAGTTACAAAGTGCCATCAAAATGCCAGCAGACGCCAAAACCGATGCCAATGCCAAAGTACCAATGATTAGCACTACTGCTACAATACTAGGAGAAGAACCAACAGGATGTTGGGGAGCAGTGAGTTATACAATTTATGTTCGATAATTTTTTTAACGTTTAATATTATCTTATTACTGATTTAATTTATACTAAATGTGTTGAAAAAGCATCTCAACATGCTTTCAGAAACAGAAGAATCTTTTAAAACTTGTTTTTACAGTCATTCGTTCGTAAAATATTGTAAGTGCAGTAAATGGAGAAAGCATATTGCATTATGAATTCTTGGCCATAGATGGCGCCACTGGAAAGCAAGAACAATCGCACCCCCTAACTTCTTTAATTGTTGTACTGTTTTTTTTTCACCAAATTATCTATTTTTAGTTCCTAAAAATGCCGTGTCGATATTTTGCAAGCTTTTTTCTTTAAGAAATGCTGAAAGTGCAGCGTCAAAACATTTAATCATGAAAAAATGCTAAAACTAAAATAGATTATAACTAAAATNCCAGCAGACGCCAAAACCGATGCCAATGCCAAAGTACCAATGATTAGCACTGCTGCTACAATACTAGGAGAAGAACCAGCAGGATGTTGGAGAGCAGTGAGTTATACAATTTATGTTCTATAATTTTTTTTAGCATTTAATATTACCTTATTACTGATTCAATATATACTAAATGTGTTGAAAAAGCATCTCAACATGCTTTTAGAAACAGAAGAATCTTTTATAAGTTGTTTTACAGTCATTCGTTGTTAAAATATTGTAAGTGCAGTAAATGGCGAAAGCATATTGCATCATGAGTTCTTGGCCATAGATGGCGCCACTGGGAAGCAAGAACAATCGCACCCCCTAACTTCTTTAATTGCTGTACTGCTTTTTTTCTCCAAATTATATATTTTTAGTTCCTAAAAATGCTGTGTCGATATTTTGCAAGCTCTTTTCGTTAAGGAAATGCTGAAAGTGCAGCGTTGAAAAATTTAACCATGAAAAAATGCTAAAACTAAAATAGATTATTACTAAAATTAATTATAAAGGAGAAATCTTGTCAAATTGATAAATATATTTATTCCCTGTCTTTTTATTAGCATAAAAGAAGGTATGTATAAGTTTTTTTCTTATTGAGTTTGTTTTTTGCTCTTAAATTTACTTATCAATACTTATGACTTATTAAAGGGTTTATTATATTTGAAACGTTTTAAAACAATTATTGAAAGGAATAAGTATTAGAGCTAAATTATTGAAACTTCACTGTAAAAAATTACGGATCAGATTAAGCTAAGAATTACTGGAGTTCAGCATTCGTAAAATCTATTCTTAATTATCTCAATATATCACTAACTATCTCAATAAAAATTACAATAAATCAGATTTTATGCACCGTAGAAATTTAGTGTAAAAATGGATCTGCAATCTGATTTGAAATTTTTTGCAGTGTGAGCCGTCTTCCTACGTTTTACTTTAAAACCAACCTAAATCAAAAGTAAAAAGCTCCAAAATAGAAATTTACTATTCTAAATATTTCTTACCTTATATTTTCTTACCTTATTATATATTATTTATATATTAATTTCTTACTTTAAAGGTATATTTTATGTATTTTCTTACCTTAAAAGAATGAATAATTTAGAGTAGTTAATTAATAAATAAGAAAGAAAAAAAAAAAAAAAAAGACCGAACCTTCTGACTTTTGAGTTATACGGTCAAATTAATAAGTTCATACATGCATACAAGTAATTTATTCTTTCGTTTATATTTTTTAAATTACACTTTACTCAAATTTCGTTATCTTTTGACATTTTATTTATTCCTCAAATTTCACTTACTTTTGACGTTATATTTATTTCTTAAATTTAGTTAATATTTTTATTCTTCTTTTATTTTCCGAATATAATTTGCTTTTTGACACTTCGTTATTTTTCAAAATTCATTTACTTTTTGACACTCCGTTATTTCTCAAATTTTATTTACTTTTTGACACTCCGTTATTTTTCAAATTTCATTTACTTTTTAACACTCCGTTATTTCTCAAATTTTATTTACTTTTTGACACTCCGTTATTTCTCAAATTTTATTTACTTTTTGACACTCCGTTACTTTTCAAATTTCATTTACTTTTTGACGCTTCGTTATTTTTCAAAATTCATTTACATTTTGACTCTTCGTTATTTCTCAAATTTCATTTATTTTTGACACTCCGTTATTTTTCAAATTTCATTTACTTTTTGACGCTCCATTGTTTTTCAAATTTTATTTACTTTTTGACACTCCGTTATATCTCAAATTTTATTTATTTTTTGACTCTCCGTAATTTTTGAAATTTTATTTACTTTTTGACATTTCGATATTTCTCAAATTTGATTAACTTTTTGACACTTCGTTGTTTCTCCAAATTCATTTACTTTTTGATTTGCTCATTTTTAGTTACTCACTTGCACCGATGCATGCCACTTTTCATTGATGGTACGGTAATAAAAGCTCCAGATTGTTTTTCAGTTAAAAGAAATTTTTCTTTCTCATGTTTTTTTAATTTAAAAGGTTTGTGAGAGTATTATATCAAATATGTATATAATTTTTAATTAAATATCTATATGCGGCAAGATTAACTTTTTCTTTTCTTACAGTAATGTATTCGTATTTAAAAAACCGATGAAATACCATTTAAATATTTTTGTATTTGTGTTTTTTTCAGACGGTGAAATGGATGAAGATAAATCTTCTTCTGATGTTAACCATCGTAGGGGTACTCTTGGGTATTCTATTAGGTTTCTTAGCTCGAATGGGTAACTATAGCGATGATGCTATAGCGTTAGTTTCATTCCCCGGTGAAATACTCATGAGGATGTTGAAGATGCTAATTCTGCCGCTTATCATCTCATCTATGATATCAGGTAACATTTCAATGTGAATGACTAATTGCAGTTCTAGTTAAAAATGTGTTACGGTGTAATAACTATAATCGTATGGTATCGTGGTGTTTTCGTTAATTTTGATCATGCGTCTCATTTAATTTTTATTTATTAAAACGTTTTTGAAGAGGAAAAACAGACATATTTAACTAAATCATGTTTGCTGTAAGTTGTAGAGTTTCAACCCACAAAAACATAATTGTAATGAAATTCTTAATTTGATATCCAATTTTAATTACAATACTTATTTATTTACTCCCCTCTTCTTTGAGAAATTTATATATTATTAAAATGTTTTATTTTGCTTTTTCAGTTACTTTCAATTAGTTTACAAAAATATGCACTGTAAAAAAAGGGATATTCAAATTTCACGAAACTTTCTTCATTTTTGATGAAACCGTTTTCTGTTATATGCTCCGAGCGAACATTCTGCCAAAATGACGAAATAAATATCGTCACTTATTCGAGGAATGAATTTCGTCAAAAGTAAAAAAAAAAAAATGGTATTTCGTAATTTAATTTTTTTTTCCAAAAGAAAAAGTACTCGTAGTGTCTCATGGTAACTAAGGGGCGGTATTGTTGACCACTTTTCGGAAATCACCATACAGTTGACCAACACCCCAACAACACAAGAACAGACAAAATAGAGAGAAAAGTTACCTACACTCCCGTAGAGCGATTTGAAATCGGGATCTTTCAGGTATAAAGCTAATTACTTGACCACCATACAACCAGGCGACTTATTTCGTCATTCTAGATTCAATTCTTCGTTCTAGTTAGCAATCTTTCACAATGCACTGCAATGAGCATGATGAAATATTTTCGTCATATATTTGAGAATTTGTGTTTTATCACAAATCACGTGATTTCGTGACGAAATGATGCTCAAAATAAAAAAAAAATATAGCTCAAGGATTGCTGAATTGTCAAAAGTGAGAGTTTTATTTCTGAAAGTGTGGATTCTTTTAAAGATCTCATTTTTCTGTATCGTATTTACTGAAAACTTATATTGTGTAAAATAGTATACAGTAAAATAATAATTCCAAGTATTCTTATGAGCCTTCAAGCCTTAATTTTTCTAAAATAAGAATTTCAACTTAGTTTCATATCCAATTTATGCGATTTTCATCATGTTTTCATGAGATTTCAAGTAGTCACTCCTTCTCTTATGAAAAAAAAACGAATTTTCCTTTAAAACCAGATATTTATAATTTTATAAATTTCGGTATAAATCAAATTTTCTATCAAAATTTATTTTTTTAAAACGCAGCAAATTTCGAAACAAAGCACATTCGAAAATCTTACCTCATACTGCAAAGATTGTGACTGCATACCATCTCATAACAGCAAAATAAAAATAGGATTAACATTTTTGACTTTATTGAAAAGAAAATATGAGAAAGAGTAGTTTTCAGGGAAAACGCTTATTAAGTTGGAAGTTTTATAATAAATGCTGTATGTCATATTGGATCTTAGATGTTATAACTACTTTGAAAATTAGAAATTCGAGTATTCTTTATGACGCATTATTTTACATTGTTTTTTTAAAAAACCTTAAAAAAAGAGAAGAAAAAAAGGATTTTAGAAACAATTAAAGAGGAGGATCCCTTCAAAGTGCATTGTCTAAATTTATGATATCTTTTCAAAAATATTTTAAAATATTTTTTTTAATATTTGCAATTTGCATAAAGAGCATAATGGTATTTTATATAGTATACGTTGCATAAAGAACATAGTTTATGCAATAGTTTCCATAACCTTCACAGAAATATTTCATAAAATATCTCTTAGAAACTTGCTATATTGATAATAAAATGTATTTGATCATTTATATTGATATCTTGAAATTGATAACACTGGGGAAATTTTTTTGTTGTTGCATTCATACAAATACTTGATCTTGCCCAATTCTGGTGTGGGGACTTAAAATCTGAAATTACTTTTACTCCCGAAGTTACCGAATTTTTTTAAATAACGTTTTTAGTCAATTTTTTGTTGAAATGTACTAGTTCAAAAAGGTTATGCATAACAAGGCTTCACGCAAATGTTGCTATAAACCTCTAGAGTTGAGTTTTAGTACATCATCAAGAGTAAAACTGCATAGGAAACCAAGGTCGAAAATGTTATCCCACGTGGCGCTAGCGTCGTTTCTATTATGATCCCAGGGTGCGTAGCGTTTTTTAAAGGTGCTTATTATTTATTTACGTTTTTTAAAAGCCCTTAAAGGTGCTTCTATTACTCTGGATTTGTAAAAAAGTTCTTAATCTAAAATAGATTTTTTCTTTGTCTTGTCGATTGTTGTTCTAAATTACAAAAAAAAGCATGATTTTCACAATTTTCTCTGCAATATTTATCAGAAACTAGTTATTTTTGTTATGATTTTGAAAATGTTTTTGAATTTTATTGAATTTATGATTGCAAAATAAAGAACTTAAAAACGATAGAAAAAAGTAATTTTTATTACAGATCTTAATGATGATTATTTTTTTTTGGAAAGTGATGTAAAATATTTTTGAATGCTTAAAAAGTACTTAAAAGGTGCTTATTTTTTGTTGGAAAATCTGACTACGCACGCTGTGATCCGTTCAGGGGCACATGATAAAATATTTTAGTAATAGGAAAGCGCCACTAGTGATGCGTGATGACATTTCCAGGCGTTGTTTTTTATGCAATTTCAATTTTTATGATGTGCCTTAACTCCTTTAGAAGTTTCATGCAACATTTATGCGATACCCTGTTATATATGATGTTTTTGAACTTGTACATTTCGACAAAAACGATAGTACAGCAGGGAACCCATTATCCGGAACGATCGGGATCATCGCTATTCCGGATAACTGATTTTTCCGGTTTTCTGAATCGCTACAAAAAGCCGTTTTTTTTATAGTTAAACCAAATTAAAAAAATATATTTGGAAATAATCTTAAAAAGAAGAAAAAACGATGAAGTAATACACTAATGATTATTTCCAAAATAATGGTTTGGTAAACATCTTTCAAAAAGAAAGAGAAATCCTAAAATCTTATGAGGAAAAAAACATTTTTTTCAAAAAAATGGCGGCAAAATTTATCGAATTTCATTCCGGTTTTTTGGTTTTCCGGTTGTTTGGTTTTCCGGCTTTCTGATTTCCGGATAACGGGTTCTGTACTGCATAAACATTTCCTTAAAAAGCTAAATCTGGTAGAAAGGAACCTATTGCAGATTTGAAATCAGCAACGTGAGAATAAGTTCGGTTAAAAAAAACTCATGCAACACGAAAAAAGAAAAAAAAATCCCCCATAACTTACTTTATTGTTTTTTATTATTGCCTGAGAAATTTCAAATGGAATAGGGGCAATTTATAATTACCTCAAGCTGCTAGGTCAATGTTCCATTTGTAAGGTTTAAATATGATAAACGTTTGCTTACTTATCTCTGGGTTTTATCAATATTAAACATTCACGCTAACTTCACAGAATGAGTAATGTCTGTATCATGATTATATTTAACAACGTTAACTTACCAGCAAGTTGAAAATTAATTGATTAATAGGATTTCTTGACGCATTTACTAGTAAATTTTCTTTGAAGGGTTATTCTCCTTATCAAATTAGAAAAAATAAAACATCCCAACTGGTTTTTTTTTTTTTTTTTTGATTAATGATAAATTAGTCAGGCACATTATTTTTCCTCGATTAAAAGATTGCTTCAAGTAATTAAATAAATGAAATAATGGATTTATTCGGAACTGACATCACATAACCTCTAAGAAATGACTCATTTATATCCTTACAACTTTATTTTTAATATTGCTCTTCTGACATCTAACGCAGCGATCACAAACTTTTTTACTCCTGAAATTTATCATTATCGAAGAATCTAATCATTTTCACTCGCTTATGAAAAATTATGAATTATAAAAGAAGGTAATAATCATTTGCGGTTGATATTATTCATACGCTTATAATACCGTATGCAAACGTTGACGATAATCAGTTGATTTTTGTGTTCCTTCTTACCTTAACATTGTTTTCATTGTTCTCAAATGTAAGAGAATTACCTGAAAAAGAAAGAACTTTTTACCTTAATTTATTTTCATTATTTTCGAATGCAAGTAAAATCTGAAAGAGAATGAACTTCTTACCATAATTTTGTTTTCATTGTTCTCAAATGTGAGAGAATGATCTGAAAGAGAATGACCTTTTTATAATTTTGTTTTCATTATTTTCGAATGCAAGTAAAATCTGAAAGAGAATGAACTTCTTACCCTAATTTTGTTTTCATTGTTCTCAAATGTAAGAGAATGATCTGAAAGAGAATGACTTTTTTATAATTTTGTTTTCATTATTTTCGAATGCAAGTAAAATCTGAAAGAGAATGACCTTCTTACCTTAATTTTGTTTTCATTATTCTCAAATTTAAGAGAATAGGCTTTTTACCTTAATTTTGTTTTCATTGCTGTCAAATGTAAGTAAAACCTGAAACAAAAAAAAGGGCAACGAGAATACTCTTATTTTAATTTTTCTTAGGCCTGACGAAAATCATTATTTTTCATAAAAACTTGTATTTTATATAAAAGAGAATGACCTTCTTACTTTAATTTTGTTTTCATTGTTTTCAAATGTCAGTACTATCATATTTCATTTTGAAATCATATTGATTGAAAAAATTACCCAGCAACTAAAAATCGAAAAAAAAGTTCTTAACCACATGCCTGCAAAAACTGAAATGGTCAACAATTCAGCAAATTGTGCAAGAATCAACTGCATTTACTCACTTCAAAATTCCTTCTCTAGGTGACGAAAATATTGACACTAGTCCGAAGTACCATACTCTCTCCTATTGGGTTACATTGAATTGCTTTTAAATAAAATTTAAACAATCATTTAAATAATTTTTTTAAAAAAATGAGATCGCCAATCATTTGCTAGAGACTACATTAACTCGCTTACAATTACAATTTCATTATTTATGAATAAGAGCGATTATCATTTGTTTCAACTCATAATCACTTGTTATTAAACAAAGTTTGATAAATTATAAATGAGGCTTAATAGACACATATGCTCTTTAATTTGGATCATTCCAATCATCTTATAAATAGAATTTAACGAATTTTTTGGCTGTTTTCAGGTCTAGCCCAACTGGATCCCAAAGCTAGTGGTAAAATGGGTGCGAGGGCATTAGTTTACTACTTCTCTACGACCATCATGGCTGCTGTCGTGGGCATTGTTTTGGTGTTAATCATCCATCCAGGAGATCCTTCCATCAAGGAGAATGTTGGCACTGGAACTGAAGAGAAAAAAGTCTCCACCCTGGACGCATTCCTCGATCTCATACGGTACATATGCGCTGTTGACAAGATAACGTCATCTTTAATAATTTAATTGACGATTTTAGGATGTTTAGGTTGTTGCTGATTCTACGTCTTATGTGAGATTATTAGGGAGTACAATCTAATATACAGGGAATAGAACAAATTATACTTGTGTTTTGTAAATATGAATACCGTATTAACTATTTGATACTAAGATATTTCAAAGTTAGATAGATATTTGATAAATATAATTTTTTTTTACAATTAATGAAGTTTGTGTGCCACGTGGGGTTAAGTGCAACTTGGCGCATAACTTGGCACACATAGCCACACTTGGCGCTAAGTTACGTGTTACTTTTCTTCATATTTAAAAAAAAACATATTTGTTGAATATTACACCAAGCCTATTTTTAATAGTTAAATTTTTGCTTTATATTAATAACATTCAAACCGATTAATAACATTTTTCATTATAAATATTTAAAAATGTGTGGCGACTTCGCATGAAACGGACATAAGAAAACACATTTTTCGAATTTGATTCCTCTAGCCAGTTTTGATTTATGTATTTTTGGTTATAAATAATTCTCATTGACGAATATATGCCACTTGAGTCCGTTTCACTAACTTACGATATTCTAGACCATATTTTCTCAACGGGGGTGGTGATATTAAGCTCAGGGGTGGCGAATTTGTTTTGGGCGATAAGGGCACTTTTTATACAGCAATAAAACGAACTTATGCTGCCCCGATTCTCCGATCTGAACCCGCACAGCACATGAATCAGTAGTTTTTGCCTCTGACTTTTCAAGGCATTTGGCGGTAATTGATAGGCATGTGCTTTTATTATGAATGTTTTATAACCATCGTTGAACAGCCGGCCCAATTTTGTGGGTTTACGACTACTACTGTTCAACTCCGCAGCCTTGTAATTTTGAACTCAATCCAGAAGACAAGGGAACTCCTAGATCGAGTATTGGGAAAATTTTGCCTTCGTGGAGGACTTTTTGATGGAGCTAACCCGCATTTGCGTTACATGGAGAGGAAGAAAACGAGAACATCCCAGTTGATGCGGAACTCGCATCGACTGGGATTCGAACCCGGTTTATGTTGGTTTTCGTTTGCTTCCTTATAAGGAAGCAAGAGAAATACTAAACGAAAATACTATAGTATTTTCCCCAGTTTCGATTCGATTTCATTGTTTATTTGGCCAGGTACGTGGGAGAATTAGTTCTTTATCGTAAATTATTTATTAATTTGAAGAAATAGCTGATTTTCTTTCATCGTTTGCATTTTGCTGCCACCGACAATGTCGGTTAACAAAAAGAAGTGTCGTCAATACAGTGTCACATACTTGAAGTTTGGATTTGTTCAATCGCTGTCGAACTCTTAACTACCCATGCGTATATTTTGCAACAAAGTCTAATGAGACAATGGAACCTTCGCATTATCAGGAGTATTTGCAAAGAATTCATCCTGACAAACAAAATAAAGATTTGTCATTTTTCACGAACATCAAAGACAAGTTTCTGAAGGCGCCTACGGTCTCAAGCTTTCTAGCAACCTCATCACCAAATTGCGACTATGCATCTTATATTATCAAAATAAATTGCTAAATCTGGGAAAACTCATACCATCGGCAAAGAGTTGATATTGCCGGCTGTCAAGGAAGTTTTAGAAATTCAGCCGCATCCAATTTAATCAAAAATATTCCATTAAGCAACGATACAGTTTTTGCGACGATTTGATGAGATGGTTGAAGACTTTGGAAGTTTCTTTCTGCAAACGATATTCTACGAATTATCCCTTCAAGTTGATGAATCAACCTTGCCAAGTAATGTAGGCTTTACTGTTGGCGTATGTCGGGTTTGTGAAGGAAGGAAGAATTATTGAGGAGATGCTTTTCTCTTGATTGTTTTTACCAAAGGTGAATCGATTTTTAATGCTGTCAAAGATTATTTTAAAGAGAAAAACATTCCTCTTGCGAATATTATGTTTGTTGCCGCTGATGGAGCTCCTGCAATAGTCGATAATAACGGGTCGACATGGTGGGTTTATCACCCTTTTGAAGAGGGAGGTACCAGATATTTTAGCTGTTCACTGCGTGATTCACAGACAGCATTTAGTTGGGGAAAATATCAGTTACCGTTTGCATCAGTGATTGCAATATGTCACATCTGCTGTGAATAAAATTCGCAGTAATGCTCTTAACAATTGATTATTCAGGTAGCTGAATTGGAAAAACGATGAATAATATAGCTTGCTACTCCACACCAAGATTTGCTGGCTTTTCAAAGGCGCCTGTCTCAACAGGTTTTGGAATCTTTTCGTCTCTGTGTTTGAGTTCCTCGAAGACAGATGTAGCTCTGAGAAACAGATTGCTAGAATTTAAGATGTACGTTGTCGGACTTATTTGCAAAATTTAATGGCGTTAATTTACAACTTCAAGGCAACGAGCTCAATTTGATCCCTACAAAATCAGCTATTTCTAACTTTCTTAAAAAAACTCTTTTTGTGGAAGCAGAATTTTGGTAGGAATGAGTTCAGCCAATTTCCAGTCTTATGGTATCTTAAAAAGAATGGCAAAATTCCCTCTAATGATAAACTAGAATATTGTCAACACCTTGACTCTATGGACATGGACTTTTCTGACCATTTTAAAGATGTCTTACCTCTGGAAGTCCCTCAATGGTTTATGAACCTTTTTGTGAATATTGAAACAGCAGAGGTTTAGATTCAGGAGTAATTGGTCGAACTTTCGACTAATGAAACTTTGAAATTGTGATCGTTTCACAGGATTTTGGCTTCAAGGTAACATCAGTCGCCTCTACCCTGGACGGTGGACTATCGTCATAAAATGTTTGATTACCACCTTCTCTTTCTTCTACCTTGTCGAACATGGCTTCAATGCTGTTATGGACCTAATCACGAAAAAAGAGAAGTCGTTTCGAAATCGTGCAATGAGGGGGCTTGCGTCTTGCTTCAGCTCACTAAAAATATTGAACCGAACATTAAGATACTGGCTCAACCATCAAGCACAATCATCCCACTGATATTATTACTTGATTGTTTCGTTGATACTACTTTTTAGTGCAAAAAAAAATATTTTATGAGTTTTTTAATTATCTAATAAAGAGCAAATTACTCTTTTTAAGCATAGGTTTCTTTGTTGTATTATTTTAATTTCCGTATTTATTTTGATTATGACAAATAGACTGCGATTACCTGCCAAGAGAAAAGTATCGAGTTAACGTATAAATTATTTTTTTTAAAAAACCAAACAAATTTGACCAAATTGCTGAAAAATGTAGCCTCTTATAAATTCAGCATGCCCACTCCATCCCCATGCTCTAAATAACTGGGTTTTCGTAAAGGGGGGCGTTGAATTTTTTTTTTTTTTTTTTTTGCTTCTTAAGGGGCCGGTAGCGTTAAAAAGGCTGAAAATCTATTTTCTAGACCGTTTAAAAGCTTAAAAATATAAATGACTTAATATAATAGATTTATGTATGACGTTAAACATTGAAAAATATAAGCGACTTGAGTCTAACTCCTTAACGATGCTGAGAATGTAAGACGACTAACTTAACAGATTTATGTCTGATATTTCTTTTCTTCATATTTCAGAAACATGTTTCCCGAAAATTTACTCCAAGCCTGTTTCCAACAAGTGGAGACGAGTTATTCGAAGGTAAAACCGAAATTTGTGAAAGTAGCGGATCTAAATGATTCCGTTTCCATTGGTAGTATTCTCAATGAGACAACATACATTACCAAGAGATCATTGACTTACAAAGATGGAACAAATGTTCTTGGTAATTAATATTATTTTAGAATGTCGCTTTGTAGAATGCCACGCTTTCACTAACCAAATTAATTATGTTAATTACTTTTATATAGCGATGAGTGTTCGAATAACATATTAAAAATATCGATTGAAACTTTTACAGGCCTGATTGTGTTCTGTATTGCTTTTGGTATCTATGCTGGTAACATGGGACCCGATGGTCGAATCATGGTTCATTTCTTCGTAGTTCTGAACGACATCGTCATGCGCATCGTCTACCTTATCATGTGGTAAATGCACACTGCTTTTTATCCTGATTATTTTTCCTTAAAGATTTAATTATGATGCATTTATAGGCTTTACTGTGTATTTACAGACTTTTCAATTTACTTATGGAATTAATTTATTTTACAAACGTCCACACAGTTGGTGAAATCTCATTTATCAAAAATATTTCTGGTTTTTCAAAAATTATTTCATAGTTTCTACATGCCATTCAAACTATTTACGTAACAGCATCTAAATCATTATTAATTTTTAATTTTATTATATTTTTCCGATATTTTTATTAAAATTTGATATTTTTTTCTAGTGTTATTGTTTTTCATATTCAGAAATGTAATTTTTTTCTTAGTAATATAACATTTTTATAAATTATTAAGCGTTTTAGGGTATTCCTTTTGTAAAATATTAATTCTGANACTAACATCGATCCCGGGATATTAGGGACCGGATTCCAGTGTGATTGTTCATATACTCATCCATGCATAAGTTAACTGGACATTGTATATCGGACAATGTCAGCAGGACATTTTATTTATGAATAATTATTTTAAAATGAATGAAAAGATCCATATTTAAACAAAAAGGAAAAGAAATACTCTATCTGGAGCAGGGGTTGTCAAACTTTTTTGATCATCGACCCCTTTATAATTTTTCGAAATCTCCATCGACCCCCATAAGAGTAATTTTCTGTTAATTAAAATTAAACTCCATTAGATACTATGTTTGTACATTTATTTTATGATTTTAAACATTTATTGAAGTAATAGTACATTGTGTATCAATAGTTTTATGAAAAATATATTAATGTTGAAATTTATATACCTTAATATTTATTAAATAATAAGTAATTATAAATAAGTAGAAATAATAAGTAATGTAACTACTGATTTATTGCTTCTAATTCAATGAGATGGGTGTGCCTGGTGTTTTTTTGCAAGGTTCGCTATATTGGGTTCAAAATTGGTCAATTTTAATCTTAAATCCCCTTGAAACTCCACATTTAATTTATTTCTGTGCTTAGTTAAGATTGAATTTATGTTACTGAAACCGGCTTCAAACATATAGGAACTTGGAAATGCTAGCATAAATGGCTGAGCTATTTCGTAAAGTTTTAAAGTTGCTATAGTTTTGTAGCTGTCTGTACTAAGTCATATTATTAATGCTTACCTTCTTTTTTTACATGTATTGATAATTAAAATTGCTATCAAACTAAACGAATGGTTTTATCAAAACAATAACTAATTAGCCAAAACTATGAAAGTCTTAATAATGACACTGCAACTATTCAACACTGTTCATAGTTTGCAAAGATAGCTGATACTGCGTATGATATTTGCGTTTGTAACATCAATGCTCGTCACACGTGACATTTGGACAAGCACACATATGCATATGACTTATAAACCAGAAGTGCAGAGTTCGTGCCACTGCGCGCTGATACGTAAATACTTGTTTCACCCGAATAAATAAATATACGTTTATTAATTTATGTTCTAGAAAGAAACTGATATTAAGTCAATTATAAAAAAATTCACAAATTTTACATACTCAATTAGGTATGTGTGATTTGCGTATTATGAACGGTTTTTTCTTCGACACCCAATCGACCCTTCCGATTCGGATCGACCCCCTGGCTCAGATCGACCCCCGCTTTTGTGAAATAGACCCCTGGGGTTCTATATAGACCACTTTGGCGACCTCTGATCTAGAGTATACTTTTTCTATAAAATCGGCCATTCACTTTTCTTAGGAAACATTTCTCTAATAGAAATAATTTAAGTTTATAAGGAAATTTTTCATATCTCTATACCTTTAATTTGAAAGGAAATGCATCATAAAGTTTATTATTTTAGGTACTCTCCATTCGGTATCATGTCTCTGATTGTAGGAAAAATCATGTCCATTGCTGATCTTGCTCTGACTGCTCAGCAGCTGGGTCTCTATATGTTGACTGTCATCATAGGGCTTCTCATACATGGTATCATAACGCTGCCTGGCCTATATTTTTTCATCACTCGCAAAAATCCCCTTACTTTCTTTCGGGGTATGCTTCAGGCATGGGTCACTGCTCTTGGCACTGCTTCCAGGTAAAGTTTGATCTCATTCTGTATATTTTTTTTAAATCTTATCTTTACAAATTTTATGAGATGTGTATATTTGAATGTCAAAGAAATACGACCACAGAAATACTTACAATATTCTATTATTTTATTAAATTGAGAAAAGATGGTGGTATTCTCTGTACGTCGATTTCAGAAAGGATCTTTATATCTAAAATTTAGAAATTCGTATGCATCTGAACTGCTTTTATATAAAGTTCATGGGTAAGGTTTTTAAAAACGGTATCATTTATATATTATATTCTTTTAAAGGAATCAAATTTTAAGCGTTCTATAATTATTATTAATTCTTTATGGGCATACTTTTATTTTTAAAAATCTGTACTCCAAAAAATTCCAGATCGGAACTCGGTATAAAGTCTAGTACTTTGGGATGCATCATTCAAAGATTTATTTTACAGTAAAAGTATTTTGCTTCTTTAATTTTTTTACAGTATTTATTGAATGAAAGTGATTCAGTGCCGACCGGCCTGTGTAAGGGGCGGGGAACTGTCCTTACATCAGAAAGGTTCTGGGTTCGAATCCCGGGTAAGGCATGGATGATTCTTTCTCTCTGTGTGTGTTCTATGTCCTTTCTCCTTTGTGTGTGAATGTGACCTGCCCTATAAACGGGTTGTGGTTGTCTGAATGGCGTGGCAGAAGTCGAATTCCTGGCCATAGATAGCTCCACTGAAAAGCAGGAACAATCGCACCCCCACTGCCTAAACAGGCATACGACAAAAAAAAGTGATTCAGTGATTTTACAGTAATTATTACTGTAAAAATAATGGCTTATCAGATTTTTTGTTTCGTAACATGCTTTGGTAAAAATAGATTTTACTGTATAAAGTGCCGGCTTCTGAGTGCTGGTACTTTTTACTATAGTTTGATCCGAATTTTTTCACAGTGTAGATCAATTTGTAATAAAAATGCGGTAACAATTTGTGGTTGATACAGGAAGATGAAATATAGTAAACATAGACATGGTGTTAACGTTAGATTGTTACCGACTAGTACTGAGAGCAGTTTTATCAGTTTCTCTTACTGTATTAACATTACTGTTTATCGTAACATTTTATATTTACGCTTAAATGATTTTTATGTTACATTGGGTCTACAAATAAGTTCCCGCTTTTCGTCACAAGATGGCACTACCAGAAGGTTATGTAGAAAATTACTGGTGTTAAGCGTTTTATTGTAAGTTTGTTCATCTGGTAACAACATAACCTTAAAATATCGGTAATTCCGTATTACGCTTACGTAACTGTTTTCGTGCGAAAATGTCAAGTTTTGTACCAAATAAGCGTCATTTGCGGAATTTTTGATTTGCTTCCTTAATTTGAAGTGATAGCTGAGGCGCATCCATTGCTTGGAGAGGCATGCGGTGAAACTGCTTTAAGTGATAGAGGTTGTCGTAAGTGATTTCAAAAGTTTATCAAACCATTACGTTAAATTTTTCACATTATTCATTTAGCAAGTTAAATATTTTACTTGATTCTGTACTTCATTACTTTCCCAATTGTTTCTTAATGTTAAATTTTTCACATTATTCATTTAGCAAGTTAATTATTTTACTTGACAGTGTACTTCATTACTTTCCCCAATTGTTTTTAAATGTGTGATGAAATAATTTTTTGTGTATATTCTGTTACAGTGCAGCTACCCTTCCTATTACTTTTAAATGCCTGGAGGAGAATAACCATATAGATTGCAGGGTAACGAGATTCGTTTTACCTGTAGGAGCTACTGTCAACATGGATGGGACGGCTCTTTATGAGGCAGTAGCAGCACTTTTCATTGCCCAAATGAACGGTATTGTCCTCTCACCAGGTGAAGTTATTGCTGTAAGGTGAGAAAATTTTGCTTTCTCAGTTTAAAATTTCGTTTTTTAAAATCCCTTAAAGGTGCTTTTTTCATTGGAGTATATATATACCCATTCTTGCATAAGTTAACTGGACATGGGGACATGGACATTGTATATCGGACAATGTAAGCAGGACATTTTACTAATTAATAATTATTTGAAAATGAATAAAAATATGAAATTTTTTAAGAAAAAAAGAAATACTCTACCTAGAGTATCATTTTTCTATAAAATCGGTCATATACTTTTCTTAGGAAGCATTAACTTTTCACTAATAGAAATAATTTACCGTGTCGATTTTCACCACGTATTATGCAAAAACGTGGTTTTCACAATGTTCTATTCAGCGTTTTCACAATTCATTCAACCACATTCCATTTCGACGTCCCGTCGGTCCTTAGCGTATGAAAGCGCCATTGATTTTACATGTTAGATGAAATACTTGGGAGTCCGCATGTGCGTCTACTCAGCTTAGTTCTGTGAGATTCTTCTAGCACTATCATGTGCCACTCTGCTGCATTTTGCAATATATTTTAAATTTCAGGCTTCATTTTCCATCCTCTGAAATCGAACCAAAATATCTTTCGAACTTTTTATGGTGGCTAACATAATCAAGCGGTTTTCGTGAAATTGTGAAAAAATTACTCACATTCTTTCAACCAGGGTCCTGCTATTATGAATTTGTGTAAAAAGGGTCCGGTTATTGCAAAACTTTTTCAAGGAGTTTTTAAATTATAAATCGATACAAGATTATGCTCGGCACTGTAAAATTATAATTAAAAAGATTAAATTTTCAAAAATAAACAGCAATTGCTGCTTCTAAATTAGAGATGCAACATGCAAATATTTGGTATTTAGCCTATACTGCTGAGCGCAGAATATTCATTTCGGACGAATAATGGAAGAATCGTCTGCCGAAGACAAAACTTAATTTGTTTACATCAATCTTTCTTGTTTTCTGCCCTGGGAAGGGTTTATTCAATTAACAAAACAATAATGAAGATAAACAAATTTGTGAAGGGTCCGATAAAATGAAAAATCATTATGTGAAGGGTCCGTTTTTAAGTTGAAATATTTTGTGAAGGATCCGTTTTTATGAAAATATATTTTGTGAAGGGTCCGTTAACGGACCCAAATTTCTTCTAAACAGACCCCTGAATATATATAGTGCTTAAAAATATTTTTGAGTGCTTAAAAAGTACTTCAAAGGGGCTTATTTTTTGTTGAATGATTTGGCTACGCACCCTGTTACACTGAGGAACCATCTTTTTGATGCATTTATACAAATACTTGATCTTGTCTTATTCGTGTGTGGGGAGAAATGAATTTTTGCTCCTAAAGCTACAGTTTTTTAAATGACATTTTAAGCCTATTTTTTGTCAAAATGTGTAAGCTTAAAAACGCTATACATAACAGATGATCGCGTAGTTATTGCGATAAACATCTAGAAGAGTTAGAGCACATCATCGGGATTAAATTTGAATGCAATTCCTTGCTTGGAAATATCGCCTATTCTATTATGACCTGTTCAGAAACACTAAGAAACAGCTCATAGTAAGGAAACGATTCTATCAAAGTATGATGACATTTCCGGGCGTGGGTTCCAATACAATTTTAATAATTATGTGCCCTAACTCCCTTAGACGTTTGTCGCAACATTTATGTGACCTCCTGTTATATATAACTTTTTTCAACAAGTGCATTTTGAATATGAAATATGAAATCAACGGTAATATGAAATCAGTGATACAAAAGTATCTAAGATCTGTTAAAAAATCTCTTGCAATAGAAGGAATAGATAATGTTCATTGTTATTGATATTTCATTGGCGATATTTAACAGAATTTATTTTCATTTTTAATATTATTGCAACTCAAAATCGAGTTGTTTATTAATGAAAATTGCTCATTTATTATGATCATCCTATTTTAATAATTTATTTAACAAATATTAGACTACTTAAATTGCTATTCAAATTTATCTAAAATTATTTCGTTCTTGCATTACAAAAAGAAAACAATTTTTTTTTAAAATTCTAAATAGATAAAACTTCTTTGAAAAAAAAACGTGCTTAAAAGCAGTAGAAATTTCAAAAAAAGATACATGTAGCAATAAAGGAAACGAAGGAAATAAAAATAAAACTGACCACCGAAGCCGACGTCTTCAGGGGGTACCGGCCCCGGTAGCCATAAAACAAAACCTTTTCTACTGAGGGAGAGGCAAATGCCTAAAGTAACTCCCTCAGTACCCCGAAGGTTTTGTATAGAAGTCCAGGAAAAAACTTGAAATACAAAGAACCAATTTAGAAAAGAAACTCAAACAAAACCATCAGAAAATAAAAACTCACTTTAACCAGGTCAAACAGCGATTTCATAGGCAAATCGAATAAAAAGGAAACACTTAAAACTAAATTGGTTCTTTGTATTTCATGTTTTTTCCTGAACTTCTATACAAAACCTTTGGGGTACTGAGGGAGTTACTTTAGGCATTTGCCTCTCCCTCAATAGAAACGGTTTTGTTTTATGGCTACCTGGGCCGGCCCCCTGAAGACGTCGACTTCGGTGGTCATATTTTTATTTTTATTTCCTTCGTTTCCTTTATTGCTACATTCGTTCTTGTATCTGATCTATTCAAGAGACAGTTTCAGTAGCAGACTTTATTAACCTCGCAATACGAAGGTTCTTTTAAAACATTAAAACAATTGGATACTTGCAAGTTACGTCATCGTAGGTAAATCTAGGCATTTGTCGATTCAGAAACCAATCAGGTTACGTGTCATTGTTTATTGGTATCCAAATAAATCTGATTTAAGTCTCATGATCAGCCAATCACTTCACTTCTTCTCGAGTTGTAAGTACCAAATTATGATTTAATGATCAAAAATACAATCAAATCGTAATAAAGATCTACTTCAGATACGTTAAGAAGACTAATTTTGCTTTACATCAAAATTAAAATGTGGAAGATCAAAATTTTTTAAAAATCGGGTTTAAAAAGAATTAAAAAATAACAAAAAAGACTAACCTTGGACAGTTAAAGAAATATTATTATTAAAAAAAAACATTTTTCATTATTTCTATAAAAACATTTTTGATTTGTGGCTGTTAATTTAAGAATGCTGCAGTTGCGATTTGAATTGATCAAAATAATTTTTATTTTTAGTTTAACTGCAACTGCTGCAAGTATTGGTGCAGCTAGTGTACCTAGTGCTGGTTTGGTCACTATGTTACTCGTACTAACAGCTGTAGGACTACCCACACAAGATATCTCAATGATCGTTGCCGTCGATTGGCTCCTGTAAGTAGGCATTTTACTGTTTCGATTATCATGTTTTTTTATTGTTTTATCCATCCTTATCCATTGTTTTTGATCAAAATATTTTTTCCTGGTTTATGCTCCGAGGACAAATTTCGGCTAAGTGACTAAATAACTATCCTCACTTTTTCGAGGAAACGAATTCCGTTAGAATTTAAGAAATTTTTCAACATTCTATTTTTTTTCCGAAAAAAAAACCCGTCGTAGTGCGTAAAGTACTAACATTTCAAATAATCACTCCTTCATGAGTACCATACAGGTGGATCAATGTCACGCTACAAGCACAAGAAGAGCAGATAGAATAGAAAGATAAATTACACATATGCCCAAAGCGAGATTCGAATCCGGGATCTTCCTGATATGAGGCTTATTTTGACCACCAAACAGAACTGTTGGCTTATTTCGTCTTTTTATTTTCGATCGTTTAGCCTTCATTATAGTTAATAATCTCCCGTGATGCACTACAATGAGTTTTATTATTTTCATTTTCAACAGCTTCTTTTATCATTCTAACCATTATAAGCTAGTGTTATCCTTTCCACCATCAGTAGCTAATTTTATCACTTTCACCATCATTAGATTGTTTCATCATGTTCACTAATAGTAGTTAGTATCATCAGTAGCTAGTTATATAACTTAAACTTTTATAAGTTAGTGTTATCTTTTCCACCATCAGCAGATAATTTTATTAATTTCGCCATCAGTGTCTAGTTTTATCACTTCCACCATCATTGGGTAGTTTGATCATGTCCACTAATAGTAGCTAGTTATATAATTTAAACCATTATAAGCTAGTGTTATCTTTTCCGCCATCAGCAAATAATTTTTATCAATTTCGCCATCAGTATCTATTTTTACCCATTTTACCATCATTAGGTAGTTTGATCATGTCCACTAATAGTGGCTAGTATCATCAGTAACTAGCTATATAATTTAAACTATTATAAGCTAGTGTTATCTTTTCCACCATCAACAGATAATTTTATCAATTTCGCCATCCGTATGTAGTTTTATTATTTCCACCATCATTAGGTAGTTTGATTATGTACACTAATAGTAGCTAGTTATATAATTTAAACCATTATAAGCTAGTGTTATCTTTTCCACCATCCGCAGATAGTCTTATCAATTTCGCCATCAGTATCTAGTTTTATCACTTCCACCATCATTAGGTAGTTTGATCATGTCCACTAATGGTAGCCAGTTTCATCATTTCCATAATCCTTAAAGTTTTACTGCTGGCAGCTATTTTAATCCCTATCAGTACCAATCTTTTTAATTTCAACAGACAGCAACTGTTTTTGTAACTTTTATTATGAGTAGCTGTTTACAATTTCCACCACTTTAACTAATTACTAGTAACACTATATTTAATAACAATGACCATCGCTCCCCAACAATTATATTACTTATTTTCCTCTCTTTTTAGTGACCGTATCCGAACATCAGTGAACGTACTAGGTGACGCCTTCGGTGCTGGTATAGTTTATCACCTTTCCAAAAAAGAACTTGACCAAATGGATGCTGAACTTGCTGCAAAAGACGAACTAGAAATGGTTGATACCAGGAAATTCTCAATTGGTGGCAGAGGAAGTGTTGGAGGCGACAAAACCCACCACAAAGGGGGTGAAGAAAGCCAAATTTAGACAAAACTATGAATTTCATGAAAACCAAAATTAAGTTTAAAAGATTACAGTACAATGCGAGTTTGGGAACAACTCAGAACAATTTTGTGCTTATTTTGAGTTTGAAAATGGAAGCATCTTTTGAATTGATTGAAAATAAAAATCCGTTGAAATGAGTGCCTCAAAACCTCTGTGTTTTGATTAGAACGCTATTGCTTTAAAAATCATAAAAAATGATGGAATTTATTTTTGTGAAGTGAACGAAGTACTAATTTGTACAATTCTCGAACGCTGCGGATTTAATTGTTAAAATTTTAGTTTCTTTCATAAAATAAATGACGCCTTACGTGTTTCATAGAATACTTCCATAAAAAAATAGCTTTTGTAATAATCATTATCAATCATATACATTAAAATAAAATGTGTGTATCCATTTTTTTACTATTAAGAAAGAGTATATTTTCAAAGTGATTATTTTTCAGGACATGGCATGAATTAATACAGAATATGGAATTATTCTGTTTTAAAATATTTTATTTATTGAATTTCATTATTAAAGTTTTTTTTTGAACTTGTAAATAGTACTTCTATTTTTTTGCTTCTTCGTTCATTAAAAGTAAATAAAAAAAATTTTGACTCTTATTATTTTTATTGGTTGTAAAATGACAATGTATTTCATATACAAATAATGTGATCTTTGAATACGCCTATCAAATATTGAAAAATAGTTTGGTTGTTGTATTTTTTATAAGCTTTCACTGAAATAATTTACTTAATCATACTACTTGAAAATCATCATGCATAAAAAACTGTAATATAAAATAAATTTACGATTTATTAAAAATTTAATGAAATTGCAATTTTAGATATAATTATGCTCAGAAATATAAGGTTGAATAAGAGTTTTTTTAATCAAGTTATGCAACTTCTCTTCTTTTAGTTGCGTAAAAAAATTGTTTTGCCATTTATTTGTTTTGCTATTGAATTGAATTGTGACTATTTCTAAAACTAACTCTCTAAAAACTGAACTCTGGTTCATTTGTATTAATATGAAGTTTAAATCAAACTACAATTGAATTTAATTGAAATTAAATTAAATTGTGATTTATTTGAGTTGAAATTAATTTAAATTTTGACTCAATTGAGTTGAAATTTAATTCAATTGAATTCAAATTAGTAGGGCATTCTCGAATCCCTGTATGATGGGATTTCAAAATACGAGCTAAAATAGATAAATTAAAAAAAATTAAGCATGTATTTAATCACTGCCTTTCTTAATAATAGAGTGTCATTATATGAAATACAAATAATACATTACATAACACTCCATTAATAATATTGAATCTCCTTTGAACAGACTTAATTGATAATTTAATTCATCATTTATAAAATACTGTACATAATTTTAGCTTTTAGAATCATTGTAGCTTTGTTGAATGATTATTAACCTTTATTGTTCATCAGCTTTGTATTGTAATGACAGTATTTGTGGCGAAAAAGAGAGCATTTTTACTTCATTTTTCTTTCACGTTCTTTACAGTGATTTGTGTATCATTTGAAAAATAAATAAATTTCTTTTCCATTTGTTTCATTTCATTTACATTTCAAACATTATCCATTCCATGTTTGCGACGCAGATTTCAGTATTTATTTACCCACCTAAATGACTATTTATACACTTTTATACAGAGGATCCAATAAGTTCGCATACACTATTTGCATCATGTCGTTGTTGTCGTTTCTAATGACACTTGGACAAACCAAGCTCGCAAGTTATTAACCTTTTGCGAATCAAGTCAGGAAGGGTCAGATTTCGTTTGACAAGAGAGCACCACAAGGGTGAAAGTATGAAAGTAGCTCAGCTACCGTCATTCATTCGTGAGTCCACTTACTCAATTTAGGCATAGATATGAAGGGGAAAGAAATTTTCACCAGATTCCTGTACCCATGATACTATCCAGCGATCAACCACGGTACTAATTTTTCTTCAGATTTTACGAGCACGTATATCATATGTACTCGGTGATTCTAAGCGGAGTGGAGGATTGAACTCCGGACAGGGATCCGATTCTGTAATCACTAAGCTACCATGGACCCTATTTGCATCCTAAAGTAGCCATATAACAAAAATACTAGAGTGTACCAATTCAAATCATGAACTAATACTTCATAAGTAAAGCTTTAAGAAAGGAACAAGCATAGAACTCTTGAAAAAAAAAACCAGAGGAGGGATAGTAAATACTATATTATTACTAGTAAATATCAAGAAGAGCTTTTCTTCGCTAATGCGAAATTTTTTGCTTTACAACAACCTCATAACCCTCAAAATGAGAAATTATTTGCTTTGCAACAACCTCATAACCCTCAAAATGAGAAATTATTTGCTTTACAGCAACCTCATAACCCTCAAAATGAGAAATTATTTGCTTTACAACAACCTCATAACCCTCAAAATGAGAAATTATTTACAGTATCGATTCAGGATATAAAAAAATGATGCGTAAATTTCAAAATACATCGCCAATTATGGTTTGAGGAGTTTTTACAAAAGGAAAACCTCAGGTTTTTATTTTTAAGAGAGATGAAAAGTAGAGATTTTGGAAAAATTATCGAATATGGAGGTGAATCTTTGCTATCAACATGACGGTCCTCCTTTGTATAATGCAAACATTGTCCAAATCGAGCACCGAGACTCTGGCTTGCTCAGAAGATTTTCGCACTCTATCCATACCTGCTGTTATCGTTATAGTTCTTTGCTTGATACAAACATTGCCCAAAGTGAGTACTAAGACAAATCTGGCTGATTCAGAAGTTTTTCGTACTTAATCCATACTTGCTGTCAACATAATGATTCTCTTTTGCTTGTTGCAAACATTTTTCAACGCAAGCACAGAGACAAATCCGGCTGGTTCAGTAGCTTTACGTTCTTAATTTATACTTGTTGTTACCATTATGGTACTTTTTTGTATAATGCAAATATTATCCAACGTTCAAGCAAAGACAAATCTGACTAGTTTTATGCCAAGAAACAAATCATTCAGAAGGTACGCGAACCTTAATACGTTAGATGTATATATGTTACGCTTTAAGAGCATTAACATTGCAAATTCATAATGTGGCCGATGCTTATTGAAAAAGATACAGGAACATGGAGAAATAATAGAATTTCATTAAGGTAAGGATCGGAACCCCGAAAAAAAAAGAACATTGCATGGTGGTGGATAGATGGAGTAGAGCCAATTGATCTTGGAAAGAGGGATTTTGTATCTTTCTGGGCAATATATTTAACTATCAATAGGTTTTAGTAACGTGGGACTGATCAATTTCCCGAGCTACTAAAGACACATCATCACATTTTTTGAGATAATTAGATCAATATTATTAATTTCTTTGGGGGAAAGGTTTTAAATGATTACGCGTTAGATAAAAGTTCTATTAATGGATTACATTTAATATATAATTCTTTTAGCATTACATATATATGTATAAATATATATATTTGCACCAGGATACTTGCTGAAAAATTTTAAGTGTACAATTAGAACAGATTTTAATAGCGAATGTGGAAAGAGTGTGCCTGTGGACTCGCGTGCGTTGCTTTCACTGATTTTGAGAAAAATTTCAAGCTTGTAAAATATTTGAAATATGAAATCATACCAACCCCCAAGCTTTTCAAAAAATTTTGGGCAAAACGTTGTTTCTTTTATTGTTAAAATTCTAAACATATTTAACAATGCCTCGGAATTGTTTGCTTGAAACTGTACAATAATTTATTTCCCTTATACAGTTTCAAGCAAACCTATCAATCCCATGTCAGCCTGGGAAATGACACTATCGCTATTTAAAAGAGATTGTCATAAAACACTGTTTAAAAAATATTGTCTTGCTGTGAATAATTCTTAAATAACAAAAAAAAAAATGATGAGGAAAAAATGGAACAAATCGTGGACTGAACAAACCAGTTCTATAGTTATAAAAAGAAAAACTTTATAGTAATAATTCGGTGTTACTCTCATCTTGTTTTACGAATTGTTTATAATATTTGTTGTTAATAATGTGTATTGTCCATTATTTAAATTTATCTTTCATAATTATGGCGATAAATGTTCTTCTTATGAGCAAATCTGGCATGCATTAGAAAACAAGTAAAAATTCATTGGAGAAACATATTGTATGCTGGATCGACACTCCGTCACTTTTACATGTTCTATCTAAAGTAATTGGTTGGCATAAACAGCCGAAGAATATCCAGCAATAAAGATCATAATCTTCTAAGGGCTTTGAAACTCTGAAGCAAACTGTTATTAACAACTCTCTGGCTAGCTAATGAAAAGAAAACGTTTACTAATTACTTTTTTTATTACGAGTAAACAGGCATTATTCTCCGGAAGATTAGGATTACTGGCCCATGATATGGGAGATAGCCGAAATATCTGAAAAATATGGTAATAAAAAATGGTAAGAGAGCATTCAAAAGTTTTAAATACCTTAATTTAATTTTCTTGCTCATTTTGCCATTTTAATAGGGTTTTTTTTCCTTTTAATTTTTCCTTCTCAAGAACTAATTAATTAATTTTTTCAAATTTAAAAGTACGTACGTCAAAGTACCTACTTAAAAGTACGTAGATTAAATTAGTGTAAACATTTGTATAGCTTAAAATTTAAAACTTTATTAGTGAGTTAAATTATATTCATTAGTAAGTTAAATTATAAAAAATAATAAATAATTATGAAAAAAATATTTATTTGAAATTATTTTTGGATAAACAAGTTCTATAACTGCGTTTCGCCTTATTATTTATTTTATTTTAGTTTTCATTTATTTATTTATTTATTTATTATTTTTTATTTTTTTGATTCGCAATTTTTTTGATTCCAGAGTGATGGCAAAACTCACAAAAGGGATATTGACATAAAGTGACCCACAAATTTACAAAAAGAATAATTAGTTTAATCAGAAGAAGTTAATTTTTATATTAAATTCCGAAGCTTGAAATAATGTTTGAACTAATTAATTAGCATATTTAAAGTTAGGTCTTTGAACGCTTAAATTTGATTTTTAGTACGTAAAAAGATCAAAAAGAGATCAATATTTCACAAGATTACAGTTGGATTTCAAGTAATAAACAAACTAATAAATTTCTAATAAGTTATTTCATAGGTAATCTAAAGATAGGACTGCAAAATTGCAAGTAGAAGCACTGATTTTTTCCTATCAATAAATAGCATGTTAAATCCAAAAATAATTAGCAAATCAGAAATAAAATAAAGATGTGAGAAATATTGAAGATCTTTAGCATTTACAATATTTATTCATAGATGTCAGCACTAAAACTAAATTCTCAAAACTTTTTAAAAGCAGCACAATTTTCATGGCACATTTTTGATAATATTATCAAATTGTACTTGGACCAAAAGGCATAATTCATTCCTAATGATTTACTTCTTTTTCTTCTTTTTTGACAAACATAAAAATATTATTTTGATTCATTGCATGAAAATGAACTAATCTTGCATGAATGGTTTCGGTAATAGGGACAGAAAGAAGAAAAAAAATTCTATAAAGTTTTCTATTTACAATATTTAATGCTAGATGTCAGCACTAAAATCTAATTCATAAGAGGAAATTTCTTTTTCAGGAAGACGATTTCTTTCATCGCAAAAAAATTCAATGCTAACCTTATTAAAATGTAAATTAATTCATTCTAACAGGAAAAAAAGGCAAACTATATTTTGCATGATTTTTTGTTTATTTTTCTCTTCCTATTTTTCAATCATGAGACATAAAAATATTATATTTTTCTTTTGTATTAAATATACTGAACTTTCTCGAATGGTAATAATACACATAATTTCCTAAATCGCATAAAATTAGAGAACTAACATCTAAAGTTTATAATTAATTTTTATTTTTACACAATCGAATTCGGATGCAGTCTATAAGTAATAAGAATAATAGTAAATGGGCGAAATAATTACGCATGATAAAAATGAAACTTCAAGTTAATTCTAGAAAAATACGGAAGTGCATATTTCTGTATCGACAGAAGAAATATTTTATGCAACAATCAAGTTTAAATATATATATATGTATCTATATCTATATCTATATATATATATATACACACGTGTGCAAAACTTAAGCAGCAAGTGCGTTTTTTGTNGCTAGATTTCTTTCATAAACCAATAGTAATCCTTATCACTTCCCTTTTCCCCTCAAATATAACAAAATAGAGGGAAATTCCTTTGCTACTTTCCCTAAGATAAAAACTTAAGCACACAGTTTTTGAGTGCGATTTTGAGCTCCGCCTTTGCTAGAAAATGTCTTAAATATACTATGTGAAGTTAATAAAATATGTTTTGCCTTCCAACTGCTATCTGCGTGGCCTAACATCACTCACCATGACTGCTTCCCTTTCATATATATATATATATATATATATATGTAATACAAAAGTTATAAAAATACTTTAGTATTAATGAAAGCATTAAAACTTTTTCGTGTTCATGAAATGCAGATATTCTATTTTGGGACTTATAGGCTGAAAACATGCCAATGAATTATAATTAGATTTATGCTTC